TACTGGAGGGGGCGGGTGCATTTTCCTTGTGATCGTATTGGGCATGAAGAGTGGTTATACGCACTCAGTTTGGAGCGGACAACTGTCCAACCACCAACTTGTGTGCGCTTAATTCCAAAAATACAGCATGCTTGTGTTTGCTTGCGCAGGGATGTGCTTCGGCTCCGTTGAAGAAATGTGGCTCCCATTCACATGCCACTCGATCTTATTCTTTCGGGGTTTCTCCTGGATATAGGTATGCGGTTGGAGATATGCTTGATGCAGCGCAAGCCACCCATGTTCTCACTGTAGGCGTAGACATCTTGTAGGTAGCCGCAATGACAGGCAAATTCGAAAGCGGATGCCGCCATTCCTTACCATGGCAGACCTTAGTGGCTTGGGGAAGAAGAGGAAATTTAAAAAAGTTCGACGACGACTGACCCGAGAGCTAGGTCGCCTAAAAATGTATAGTAAGCGGAAAAGGCGAAGCAGATGAAACGCTACCCCGAACTTTGTTAACACAAGGAGTTCTATGATTCTTTGGAGGCCGTGTATGGACCGAGATTGGATCCGCTGAGGACGCTGATAGACGCAAGTGCAGGCCCTACTTGCACACAGGTAATAGACAAAAATGTAGATCTGGCAAAAACACTTTGAATGTCTCTAGAACAACCGCTCAGAGATCGACTGGTCTACTTTGAATGGCCTGAAACAGCGCGATGTAAAGGCGAGTCTGGCAGGCTTTCCGACACTGGGTGAGACGCAGAGAGCACTCGCTTAGCTGAGAAAGGAAAGTGTGTCGGTGCCGATGGGATCCCGCCTGAAGTATTGAAACACGACGAACCTGCGTGGATGACTGCGCTACACCACTTGGTGCAACGCATGTGGATTAAGGAGGAGGTGCCTCCAGAACTGAAAGATGCACTTGTGCTTCCACTGTATAAGTGCAAAGGAAGCAAGTAATGTTGCACGAATTATCGTGGCAGCAACTTGCTGAGTTGTGTGGGCAAGGTAATTGTCCGAATCCCGCTAAACTGCCTCGTCAGTCAGGTTGTGAAACCTAACTTTGCGGAAGAGCTGTGGGAATTTCGTTTGGGTCGCAGCAGCATCGATCTAGTGTTTGCGGCTTGACGGGTAAAGGAGAAGTGCAGAGAATGACAACTGCTGTTGTACGCATTTTTTGTTTACCTCATCAAGGCATTTGTTACGATGAACAGCGAGGCATTGTCACTGGTGTTGGATAAGTTTGTTTATCTGAGTAAACTTATAAGTTTAGTTGAATTTTTGCACAGTGGCATGCGGGCGAGGGTGAAGCTGATTGGACAGACCTCGGATGACTTTGCAGGTATCTCTGGTGTGAAGCAAGGCTGTGTCTTAGCTCCTGCCATGTTTACTATTTATCTCCATGCCATATGGCTTGCGTTTTTGTTGCAGCTTGTGTTTGCGGTGTTCGTGTGCAGCATCGTATTGATAGTGGGTTGCCGATCATTCGTCGTTTCGGTGCGCGAACCCTAGCCTGTGAGACAAGTATCCGTATGTTGCTGTTCGCTGACGACTGTGCGTTGTGTGCAAACAGTGTGGAAGAGGTGTAGCATATGACTAGTGCTTTGGCTTTGACAGCGGCCGAATTCGTGCTCACCATCAACACAAGCAAAACTGTCTGTCTCTTTCAGCCTTCACCCGGATATGCCATCTACTATGGTGCCGCGAATCAGCAGTGGTGCCGAAGTATTGGAAACCACCGGCTTCCGCTACCGTGGGAGTGTGATGTCGACTGATCAGCAGCTACACAGTGAGCTGCTTAGTCACGTCTTGAGGGCAGTGGCGGCATTCTGGTAGCTTGAGTACCGCTTGTGGAACAACCATCACCTTACCGTGGGCAGGAGGATGATGGTGTACAAATCCATGGTGTTGTCTGTTCTTCTATACGGCAACAAGACATAAACGATATGCCGGATGGATGTGCGGCACCTCGAGCGGATCCATCAATGGTGTTTGCGACGGATTCTGCGTATCGGTTAGTGCGACAGTTTTGCGGACACGAAAGTGTTGCATCGAATTGGAACGCATGCAGTGCACTGCATAGTATTGCTGCCACACCTGAGGTGGACTGGTCATGTGAGCCGCATGGATTCGACGCGGATTCCAAAGCAGCTATTATATGGTCATATGAGTTTGACTAAGCGGTATGTAAGGGAACGAATTTAGGTTAAAAGGACATAATTAAGGGAGCGCCTCACGTTCTAAGCTTGATTGCAGGTCATGAAAATCGTGTGCGGTAGACCAACTGCATGGCGTTACCTGGTCACGAAGGCAGTTACCAAGTTGCAGGAGACAGACCTCATGCACGCCGAGAAGAAGCGGAAATTGCGGAGGCGGTAAGCGCCGATGAGTTGTACTCCATCGACATCAAGCGCATGGTGCTCTACCCCATGCGGTCGCAAGTGCCTGCATCAGACAGGCCCAGTTAACCATGAGCCAGGCCATTTGGGACGGTCACCAAACGCGACGACGGGTCCTGAAGAGAACGTAGGCAGAACGGGCGCAGCGTTTGTAGGTAGCTGCAATCGATGTACTATCCGCGTGGTTGCATGCTGGGTCTTTTTATCTCAGGTGGTGGGTTCAGTTTTGTCCAAATACTTTTCTTTCTTATATTAATGTCTACCTAAACCATCTTCTATAAACCTGCATACGTCGCTTAATCTAATTGTATTTAACTTTGATAACCTTTTTGCATTTGAGACATTCCCTTAAAACATGTTTTCTGACGCCTCGAAGTTATCGCTGATACGTTCGTAACCAAGTTATTTTATGCGCTTATTTAGTGAAGTTTTAGATAAACGTGTCTCTATGCGTTATTCGATTATTTTAGTTGTTCTCGTCGTTTCAAGTGCTTGGCTGTGGTTACATATTCTCGGTGTGGCTTCACTTGTTGTGCAAGTTGACAAGATGCCTACCGGTCTTTTACCTCCCGACTACTGGCTCTAGGAGAGAGTTAGTCGTCGCTGGATGGAACAGGTGCATTTTCCTAGTGATCGTGCTAGGCTTAAAGAGTAGGTTCATACACTCAGTGTAGAGTGGACCACTGTACAGTCACCGCCTTGTGTGCACTTGATTCCACAAATACAGGGCGCTTGTGTTTGCCTGTGCAGGCTGGCTGGCTCCGTTGATAAAACTTGGCTCCCATTCACATGCCACCCGGTCTTATGCTTTTGTGTTAACACTGGGAATGGGGTGTATGGTTAGAGCTGTAGGTGGTGCAAGGCACACCACCCATGGTGGCTCTCTAGGCACAGGCGTTTCGTGGTTGGCCACAGTGACAGACAAATTTGAAACCGGGTGCCGCCAACCATATCACTATGTCTCAATAAAACTTGCAGAAGTGAAATGTAATATCTATGCTAAATTTGATCCAGAAAGTGGTTACATTGCGGAGAATCTTAGGAATCGCCATGGGCGTAAACCTTTTAATGACGTCAAAAACATTGTCCTATGCAGGCGTCCTGCATAAGACTAGTGACCAGGAAATGGCTGCTAGATTGACTTCTGGAGCGTCCTAAATGCCTGTTTGTTGTACCCATAGCTGTTCCAGTTGGAAATAATTGGGACGGATGTCGGTCACTGAAATCATTTTTCTAGCGCACCTTTACCAATACCGAAAACAAGTTCTTATTGCTTGCCAATACCATAGGCAACAAACAAAAATCAATTTTAGTGGTAATTGTGCAGTAATATAGCCATAAAGTCGGAAATTCTACCTAAATATGTCTTATCGGGACGGCTTGGGCATATAAAGCGGTCAACTGCAATGACTTAAATTACGATTTTACTGAACATTAAAGATTTATAGGCAAGTGGCGGCGGTTTTAAAGATGTATACATAGTTAACAGCATATCTTGCCATATTGAGCAAATGTTTTTATATTTCTGTTTAGCCTAAGTAAGTGATTATAAAAACAAGCAAATGTGACCGCTGACCGTCCATTTGTACGAAAAGTGAGGGATTAAATTTTGCTAGATTCCCATTTTTGTAAACAATCGCTATGTAAAAAACTAATCAAGAACTGTTTATGTTATTACATAACAGCTGCAGCTTCTTAGTCACTGTGCTGCTGTAACAGTTGATATTTTTTAACGTTATCGCCTAGAATTGGACAAGTTATGAGCATCCAATATCAGTGTTTCTTAAAGCTTCCAGAAACGGATACGCAGGACCTTGTTCTGCCTTGGTATTTATTTAGTCATGATCCTGGTGGCGGTCAGCTGAACAATTGAGTGTAGCCTGGAGGCACGGTTCTCCTTTGATTAAATGGCCTTATATCACGGCTACAGAGAAGGCTGAGGCATAATCCCGTACGCCGCAGCATATGCAGTGCGCATTTAAGTTGACAGCTTTTACTACAGGACTGGATGGACACGCTGCCGCCTTTCAGGTAAGTAGTACACACAAAAGTGCGTCTTGTTTGAATTTTGAACGCCCTGATTACATTTGGACACGACTGCATTAAAGTTTATTCGACAGTATCGGTCAATTCAACACTGTGGTGAAAAAGTAATTGCTGTATACAAAAAGATACGACAACTGTCTGCTGATGTCAATAAAAACTGAGTTAGTGTCTAGTATGTAGACCAGCTAAATGATGTAATAATGCCATCCAATAGATTATACTTAATCATTGCTATATTAACCTAATTGCCTTGGTATGGATTGCCTAGTCATTATATGGACACCTCCTTTTCTTATGTTCAACTCACTAGACTTATTAGTTATTTTACCTTCGAGCGACTTGAAAGATGAAACATGAGACCACATGCATCTTAATGCACAACACATACAAGCTCACGCGCGCTAAACGGGACGTTTATAAATGCGATTCAATTAGGTACGTTTGTACCACATTTATTCCTGATAATATTTATGTATAACCCATTAAATAAAACAGGCTTTCTAATAAAATTTACGCACGTCTGGTGTGCCGATTAGAATTTGAACTTAATTTTGCGGAGACAAGAACACTTACTGCTTTCTGCTTGGAAGGTTCCGCATCGAGAGCCAGTTGCAATTCTCCGAGTAAACGGATAAGTAACCTCTTGTGGTCCACAGACAAATTAGAATATATCACAGAGGAGTCTTTTGGGTTGTTAATTATAAATTTAATGAGAGAGATGAATGAGTCTATCCGCTGCTCTGACAATCTTTTTGGATCATTTTTGTGTACAAAATTCGCAGTCTTCCAGTGAGAATCACCACGGAATTGCCAATTAGTAGCCACATCTAGATATGAGTAGTTGAAATTTTTAATGCTCAAATAATATCTCTTCTTACTAGGGTCACAGAGTAAATGGGTTACTTTGGCAGATTCTGTAGCTGCATGAATGCTGGTAACAATAATGTGTATTAGGCACCTCGTATAATTTTGTCCATATCACGCAACGCCTCAGCCAGTATGTCACTGGCCATAAGCCCCTTCGTTTTAGGAACAATATTAGTCATTAGTTGCATACGAGGGATAGAAATTGGACGAAACGCGCTAACAGCGGACCAATTCGAAATTGTACACTCAGAAATTAATTAAAATGATCGATTTTAAAAAGAGCAAATAGTAATATGCTCTACGTCCTTTATCAAATAAGTTAGCGAATTTACGTATCTTGTACCACCTTAGGGAAACAATTATCAATACTTTGTGCGCAAATGAAGTTTGGTATATTTTAGCAGACACATCAACTTCTTCGTCCTTACTGACATTCGCCGATGTAGCAGTCTGGAGATTCCCCGGTTTGCTTGTGTAAAATGCTAACTAAAAGTATTATTCCCATTGTGCGCCTAGGCGACCGGTGCAGATTGTTGCACTGGTTGTTGAAAACGATTGCTTGAATCGAAAGTCGTAATTTTGCTTGGCGCTCCGTTCGATTACAATTCCCAACCACCATATGTGCTGGGCAGTTTGTATTCTCCTAGCTAGCAGTGTTCAATGGCGTAGGTTTATAACTAGACAAACCGGGAATCTTTTTGCTGTACAAACAAAATCTGCCCTTCAATCTTGTCAATCTTCTGAAATAGTTACACAGGCTACCCCTAACCTATTATGCTTCATGAATAACTGTTTTTACCGCTGTCGCCTGTCTTCTGTTAAAATTCAGGTAAAACACCACCCATTTTTGTGTCATTGGGCACCCAAGCGCCAGAATTGAAACTTAATTCGGACACCCGATAACTAACCCAGTTATCATGGTGACACATATATTTGTGTGTGTAACCTGCTAATTTAACAAGCGCTGCTACTTTTATGAAATTACTTGCACTCATTTTGGCAGTTTGATTTTATGCACCTGCTTTTCATAACCATGTTTACGAACTTTAACCTTCCTAATCCATGGAAGTTCGCCTCACTTGACGTTGCAGCACACCAAGCGCGCATTGTAAGAAGCCACAGGGTAAAAGACTGTCTAGACTATCATCATGTCGCTGCTTTAGTTGCTTCCTTACAGTTTCTCCTTTCTTACGCTTGGCAGAAATTTGCTTCGCGATGCATTATTATGGAAGAGTCAGCGCATTGTCCGGATGCGCCAGACAATTTCCCACTTGTAGTCCATCCGTCGCGTGTTCTATTCATCTGGTTAGCTTCTGCTCGTTTGTGACGATTTACTCCGATCAAACAAGCCTTGATACTGGTGGTGGTAGACGTGATAAATCATGGTTAGGTTATTTCGTGGAAATGCAGTGCATTGTAATTTAGGTAACTAGTTTCCTGCAGCGTGAATTCCGTTATGGATAATTGTGGGTACGGCGAGTGCTTCTAGAACGAGCACTCCAGACTGAAACCACGGAGATTGGTTAACCTGTCAATATAAGTTGTTTGACGTATCTAAGGCTTTTAAAACACTTCCCATGCAGGGTATTCCTTAGAGTTGGAGTCTTATGCAACACCTCACCACGCACGTCAGGGGTTGCTCGTGTTCACACTTGGACAAAATCATGCGTAGCCTGGAACAAAACCATTCTTTTGAACAAGTTGTACTAAGTGGCGTCCTACGATTGTATATGAAAGAGTGCTGTTCTACTTATTCAATAGGCATTAATGCCAGCTCTACCAGAAGCTAGCTCTAAATAGTGAAGTACAACCGAATTGTACGTTCGAATTACGTGGCCACTATTATTCCAAGTTTTTGGTAATAAGCCCTAAAAATATCAAATAGTACCTTATTTATAATCACCAAATGCGCTACAGCTCGAATGAAACTCAAGCTTACTGTCCTTTTTGGGGTTTAGCTTGATGTCGATTTGCTCTTCTCTGTCTTTCCACATCTTCGGTATCTGGAATGGAAACTGGAAGAGGTAGACCATTAAGCATCTTAGAATCCTTGGAACATTCTCCCTACTTACTTGGGTCTGCACAAACTGGTCCTCCTAGTGATTGTGCACAGCCGTCTCATCCGGGTCCAATATCCAAACGATTTGTACGTCATCCGAATTTAATTACAACCATTCCCTGGGCGGTCGAAACCCATTGCCTCTGAAATTGGATACGTCGGAAGCGCTCGAGCCGAACATATTAGCAAAACGTATTCGAGCTTTGCACAGTTTAGCACGGGACCTTCCGGTGAGGACGTGAACATAGTGTAAGGTCGCAGCACTATGCCGAGTAGCAACAAACAAGTAGATACTAAGCCGAAATTGCCCCAGTCAAAGGGTAAATACGATTATGCGGAATGTAAGCGATTAGTCAACTTTGGTTTACACAGCCCATACAGCTGCAAATGGTAGCATCCAAAGTGGACGTAGGTTTCTCAACGACAATTAACCGGTCAGACCAGTCACTTGCCTAACTCAGCTGTTGTACTGCGTGCTCCAAACTCCCCCTATTCACATACACACTTATCCTAGTCCAGAGTGCGACCGGTTAGCAGGAGGATTAAACTGGAGAAGACGACCAAAAACAAGTCTACGGCAGCTACAACCCACAGGTTGCTGGTCGAGTGCAGATACCCTAAGACTCCAGGCACGTATGTCGAGATCGCTTCAACGGCTTTTCGTGATGCCACATCTAGACTGGTCTCTGTTGCAAACACTATTGACGCGGATAGTACGACAAGCAGCATATTATCGGCACAAGGCATAAAGGCAGGTCTAACGATCATCCGACCTTCCAGTTTAACCAAGCGTCTAACTCCAAATCCTGACTGTCGAAAGCATAAATATCCCGAAGATACTTCCATCACATTACAGGTAAGTTGTTTGACGACCAACACACTATGCAGTTTGATGAACGTACAGGCCGAACCCACAAACCCAGTAAGAGGTACAAGTCACTCGAACCCTGTACACTATGGCGAAACCAGAAGCAGTATCCACCGTTGACGTAGCAAAAGTTTTACTCTCTGCAAGCGCGGTATAACACGGGTCTTGTAAGGTACGCACGTATCCTGTGGATCCTTGGAGCGCGTGTCAATCAAAATGATAAAAACTCGAAAGCACAAAGCAAGCCAAGTTGCCTAAACATAATTTATGACGTGCCTGAACATGCTTCCGACGACAATCACGTGACCGGCATTACCGATTTGAAAGAGTTGCATTACATCCGTGTAACCTTTTCCTTGGACAATCTTGTGACGTGATCGCACAAAAGCCTACCACGCTTACTAACCTATGGAGAAACCGGAACAGGAGTTCGTTAACTCCTGGTTCAGTCAGCGAAAACAGCAACAGTAGCATCTGGCCTCTGGCGACGACATCAGAAAAGCCTTCAATCAAAACTTGGTTAAAAGGCGCTGAAGCTTTGTAAAGAGCACACTCGTTTCTAACAGAAAAAGCAAAACTACCAGCGATTAAGCAAGAGCGTTGCGTTACCGCTCGGTTAGACAATTGAGCGTATGACTGAACGAGGAAACGGACCTACCTAGGCCAACTCCGGTTGCGAATGACATGTTAGCATCCACCCATCGAACAATCGAATAAAGACTTGACTCGCATCGGTCAACCTTGTAACCCACTTAACTCTGTTAGCTCCCGGTGGGCTCCTAGATTGCAACATTTATCCTACCTTTATACCATTTCGCAGAGCATTTTCAATAAGCTGGCCAAACTTGAATATAGCCATCTTTCTGAACCGAGTGCTACCACGGGTGTCATGGAGACATAGCTGCACGTTTGAAAGACAGATGTTGAAGTCGCACCGCCTGGCTTTTCCTTCATAATAGAAGACAGGCTTACTAAAGTAGGACGGTTTATTCTGTGCTACCGAAGTAACCTACATTGAGAAATCGTTGAGGATTCGGATTTACGGTTCGCCGGTACGCTTTGATGAAGCCAGCTTTTAAGGAGACGGGATATCTCCCATATTGCTTTGAGGTACCGTCCCCATACTCTATACCGGAAATTTACTGCCACTTTGCGAAGCAGCACAAATACCGATGGAAGAAGTAGCCTTACTAAGAACAGGACGAAGTGCAGGCGAAAAAGGTTGAAGCAAACAATCATACTGGAATGTGGTTAGTTGCTTCCGCAGAACTGTTCCATGTTCCGTAGACCACTAAAAGTTTATAGTTCAGGTCAGCAACAGGGCAAATTTTATGGGAACTTTTAGTAGTATCGTAAGATACCCTTCATGGACCCTAGTTCATGAACGTTTGCAAGGGCGTGCACATCACCCCATGGTTTAAGACGAACGGCATCTGTGCTAAGTCCAGGGAATACATCGTGTTAATTCAGTCAACGGAGTACATTAACGCAGCTTACACACCGTTTTGGAGTAACATTTATTTTAGTGTCTTTGACGCTGTTTAATAATTCTAGTAGGCTTGAATCATGATACAGCTGGTCCGCGGTATTTATTCACACTTCAGCTTGGAAGCTCTGAACCACTTTTAAAACTTTCACAAGCGGATGCATAACATCATGAAAATGGTGGGAGCTACACTAAGACCAAATAGAAGGAAACGACAACGATACAAACCGTAAGGATTACTAATGGTAGTGGAGCACTGGATGACTCACTGCGTGTAACCCGTAAGTAGATGTCGTTTAATTCCAGTTTCGAGAAAATTCCAGTCTCATCTAAAGAGGAAATAGCTTCTGGTTCTTATGTATTAAGGCAGGCCGACACAGATTTGCATTAAGTGGGTTCCGATAGTCGCCACAGACACTGCGTGGCTGACCGAATGCATTTAGTAGGTGGCAGTTGCCCTTGACGTTTGAGAGCTCGGAAGTTGTAAAAGTTCTCCTTTCACCCACCAAGCATCAAAATCTACCCGGAATGGCTCCCTCAGTCCGCAAGAAAACTTTGGCGTTCATGATATACAGGATGGACAATACCGTCAAAGCCTACTGGAAGAATCCGCAAACCATAAAAAGCTATCTAGTACACATGAGTCAGAAAAGGCATTGGAGTCTCATAATCAGCACTGGACAAAAATGTAAAACTAGTTTTAGTTGCCGGCGTAACATCAACGCACGAACAGATTGACTTCAACATGTAACCCCTATCTTTACTATACTCTTGG